AGGGGGGAGCGGTACCATAAGGTTATAGACTCCTTGCAGCGGTTGGCCACTGAGGTTCTCCATTCCGATTGGCGAACGGACCCAAGTGTCAGTGTCAGGGCCGTTTTTTCAGGGGCTGAATAATAAAAATTTTTCAAAAAATTCCTAACCTCGTAAAATCTCCAAAATCTTCGATAAAAATACCCTCCGTAAGAATTCTCGACGTACGATATATTTCGAAAATAAGGCGAAATTTATTCTGCGAGCAATTATTGATGATAAAAAAAATTAGTCAATGTCCCCGATCAACCTGCTAGCCCAGTGCCTTTCTTTCCGTGTGCCTTCTGCCCGTATTCAAAACGCATACGTGCATTTACGCACATACGCGCATACCGTCCCAGTGTCTCTGGGCAGAGCGTGTAGTTTCCGTATGGCGGCGTGTTCGGCCGTGAAGCAGCGGAGAGACGGAAGGCAAAAAGAGCGAGTGCGGGCGTCAGGCGTGTACGGCAGTAGGATAGGCGGATGAATTGAGAGGAGAGAGAGAGAGAGAACGAAAGAAACTACGGGTGGCTGAGTGGGGTCCGAAGAAGTCACCTGGTGGGGAACCGGTGCCCCCGGTGCCCGTGGTGGCTCGAGAGTAGGTCAGTGTACCATATTACCTGCCGGCTTCGGGGTGGGCCGGAGGGGGAGGCTTCCGACTCGTCAGTTCCGCAAGTGCCTATAGACACCATCCATACTTGCTCGCAGCCACTAACCTGGTATCTCTGGTGAATGTTCCGCGAATGCTTTTACACAGGCTACCGCTATGCTCGATAGCCCGATACTTTGTGCACGTACGTGTGCTACGTACGGAGTATAGGTTCCGTGCATAGGAACGTTAGTGGTATATGGGCTGAAATAACATTGGCTTTGGAATTCGATGCTCCTTGGCCGCCATTTTGGTACCTGGCTAGACTCTGATTGCAGACGATTAACGGGGAAATTAACGTTAGATACATTTTTCGAGTCGGTTTGAAGTTTAAAAATTTTTTTTTTTACGTACGAGCATAAGCTATTCGGGTACGCTTTTTTTGGGTTTGAATCTTTTGCCTTGTACTTGCCTTATTCGCTTCGCACTGTGTTAACCTTTAACTACTGGTTTCACGTACTTTCCCCGCTCGTGTAGGCTTGCTAGGAGGATTTTCATTGCGGAGTAAGTGCAGCATACGGATTTCGGGGTTTATTTGAATTCGATCGGCTTTATTTTCTCTTGGGGTGGTCGGACTGGTGGGATCCTGCGGATTCTATGTAGTCGAGGATGGATTTTGCTAATTGTTTGTGTAGTTGGTATCTGAGGTTAGGTTTTTTTTTTTCTTCTTTTTTTTCGACGGAATTTCTCTCATCGATTCTCTCTCTTCCTTTTTCTCTTATCCCGAGTTCGAATCCCGAGACACCAGTCCGCCATGTGAAAACGGGGTCATCAATCCGCCCACATGCGATTTTCAACGAATTCGATTAACGGAATATTAAAGGTCTGTTTAACCGTTACGGTTTTTCATTGGGTTGGTATTATTTTTGGAAAAAAGAAATTGAATTTTTGTTGGACAAAAAAAAATTTGTCTTTTCTATACCTTTCGGAATACACGGGTCATTTCAATCCAGATAGTCTTCGGTTTCTTCTTTGACTCCGTTCAAGCGATCAGGTATGCGGTTCGACTCGGTTCTACGCCAAAGAGTAATTAGGTAAACCAACCTCCACTTGGCCCCTAACCCCACTTTCCGCCCCCCTTAATTGTTATTCCGTTAGGATTCGCCAAGAGATCTTCAGTAAGGATCGATCGATCGTACCTTGTAATGATATCGTATTTAGCCAAGCATCGATGTTACCACGAACAGACCATAGCGGCATTTAAGTCTCTAGAACGTCTAATGGATGATATGTATGCAGTGTAGGAGATGCATGTAAAATGAAATTAATTAGATAATTAATTAATCCTTTATCGTGAAATTACATCGATCCTCACGATACCGCTTAATCTTATTAAAAAATCGACTTTTGAATTTCCCGCGGTTGAAACAATTTTTTTTTTTTTTTTTCTTTCAACAGTTGGCAGCTATCCCAAGGTACCCACATAACAACGAGAAACACGTAGCTAGCATCGCGAGGCTAATGAAGCCGCTAAATATAACTGAACCTGAATACCGCTATAATAGAACGAGATAAGGCCCTCATTTGACATATTCGTGTACAAAATGGAATCGATGTGAAAACCAAGTCGTGTAAGGTAAACAGTGCTGACAATTGAATAAAAAAAAAAAATTTTTTTTGCCCATACGATATACGGTTACCGGTAGTTATTTTTTTAATTAAAAATTTTGTGCCGGTAATAAGGTGGTCATTGGGCGATGGGTGGGGG